ATAGCCCGGCCAATGTGTCGCGTGCAATCCGTATCTTATATTCTTGGAAAAACTTGTTTTTCTTTTCTTCACGGTCGATCGTGAATCGTTGGAATCCTCCTCGTCGTTAATGCGAATTCAGCTGCTCCTCTTCGAGGACTAACTATTATATATTTCGAATGGACTGGCCCGACCCTGTCATTTATCTAGGCCACAAATTAACACGACTAACCATAACCGTAACGTCAGGTTAAACGCGCCTTTTCCTCGGGCCCTGGAATTAGAGAATCCCAACCCCTAATTTTAATCCTTCAAAAAAAAAAAAGATCCTCTCGTTCTTCTAATTCTTAAATCATAATGTTTAATATTTTTCACAAAAACACACTTTTCTCTTTTATATATATATATATATATATACATGTTACGACAATCCGAGTCGAAATAGCTGAGTTTAATCGATGACTAAATCGTTATTCGTTATTTCGTACCGTGTATCAGACGCACACACACACATACACACACACATAAGAAGGATACCTAATATCGGCGCGCCTGGTCCACCGGTCTCCAAAGCAATTTTCTGCTTTTCAAGAATATAATTTTCGCCGGGGGATGGTCGCTATATTTCCGTAGATAAGACTGTAGCTCCGCCGGATCCGGCGGCCGCCCAGCCGAGACCCTACTCTCTCGTGTGAAATTACTTCGCTCCGCGGCTTACTCTTATCCCCCGGTGCCACCCTTTCTTACCGTGTATCCTCATTCAGCCGGGGATCTCCTCTGGAAATAAAGTAGATACCTTTCCTATTTTCGCATCCGGAAAATTGCAATACCTCCGCCACGGAGACTCGCTCCTTGTCCCCTTTATAAATCAGCCTCGCGGTCTCCTCTCGCGTTAATCGCGTTGCGTTCGATCATTTTTTTTTTTTTCCCCTTCTGTTCCTTTCTCCCCTGATTACTTAGGTATGTCAGGTATTCGTTTCTCTTCGAAGAAAAATTGTTCAAACGCGACGAGTTACGAAATTGTGAAGATAGAAAATTTTACGAGTCGATTTTTCGAACTAACGAGTCCGAAAGATGTAGAAGAAGAAACGAAACTCGATATAATATAAAACGATGATTAAAATAAAAACGATAATTTCGTATTTAATTTTTTTTCTTTTTTTTTTTTCTTTTTTTTGATACGTGACAAAATATCACGTTCGAGAGAAATTTAAAAATGTTCGTTTTTTCTATCGCGTGCAAAAAAATTAAAAAGAAAAAAAAAACGTTTCCCCACTCTGCGAGTATTAATCGGGGACAATTTAATCGTGAAATATACGGGATACCTGTATCTGTTGTATTCAGTATCGCCACGAATATCTGTCGTATCCAACGTTACCGCCCCGAGGATTCGTTCGATACATTCCGGTAGGCGGTGAACCCGTTTGAGCGAGTACCGGCTCTTAACGCAACAAGCTCTCCTCGCGCGTTTATCTAATTATTATAATTGCGCGATTATTCTTGGCCGAGGAGAGGCACGGCAGGGGTGAGATCGCATGCCGGCCCTCGCGCAAAAAGAAACGAAACGAGTAACGGGATATATATGGAGCAGCACGCGATAGAATCTCCCCGAGTTCGAAGTCGTGATGCGAACGATCACGAATTCTTCGCCCCCTTTGTGCATCGGCCCTCGCTGCATTCTTTCCACGCGCACACGCCGCTGCTCTCTGTCTCCTTGTAATAACTATCCCTTTCGAGAATTTTTATATACACGAATTTATTCTCCTTCTACCGATTATTCTTCTCTCTCTCTCTCTCTCTCGCTCGCTCGCGATCGAAGAATTTCCTTCTTCCTTCCACTTGTGCAGAAATATTTATGCATTTCATTAAACCTCTCTGAGGAGGTGATTCGACTCGTTTCTGATATCGTTCACATTGACACGATGCAAATCCGACTCCGTATATACCCCGACCGTTGGTCGCGCCGATCACGCGACCGCGTGCTTGTTCTCCCTTGCATACGTAGGAGAGAGAATGGAAAAAAAGAAGAAGAAGAAGAAGAAGAAGAAGAAGAAGAGAGGGAAAAAAGGAAAAGAGAACCGGTCGAGGGGGTAATTTTGCTTGATACGAGGTTGTATGGAGAGAGTGATTAACGGTGAAATCGATTTTTTTCTTTGCTTCAGGTAAATGGTGTCCGCGTAGGGAATGGAGTTCGCCGCCGGACGCGCAACGAGCGGCGAGCGATGCGCGTCGTGGCGTTCTTTACTCTTCCGTCTTCCTCGGTAGCCCCGGTAAGTCTCTACCAAAACTTCTCACTCTTCTCTCTCTAAAAACAAAACTTTTCTTCAAACCCTTCCATCAAACACTGAACATCTCCCGCTCGGAGATATGGTTTCGTTCTCTGTTTTTTCGTTCTCTTTTTTTCTTAACCTTTCCTCGAATTATGCTCGAGTAGAATTGCGCTCGTCTGATTTTCCCTGCTTAACCCGTTAACCCTTAATCGAATTGTTCGATCGTTCGCGATTTCGCGGAGTCTTCTTCATTTCTTCGTATTCGAGTCGCGAATCCACTTTATGCTTGTTAGATGAGATTTAAGATTAGAGTTAGAAGGATCTTTAATCCGGTGGAATCGATTTTTATAATTATTTTTTACACGATATATTCTCTGTACATTCCGTCTCGAGTTTTGCAAAAGTTTAAAAAATTTAAACGCGAACATCACGCGATGTAAAAATTCCTTGCCGCTTAAGAAAATTCGTACGCACGCCTATTAATTCCGCTGGATATTCCGCGAAATTTCCGCGCAGGCCGAAGAGGAACGAAAACAGAAGCGTGTGCACAGACGGTTTCGTCGTGAAACACGCGCGATATAACCGGGGTCCTCGGTGGGAGGAGCGCAATCGTTCGCGGCATAAACAAGTTTTAATCGTGCCTCGGGCATTCGCCGCGTTGAATAAATATTGATATCGGGTGACGCGACGGCCAATCAGAATCGGGGCTTATAAAGCAAGCCGCTTACACCTCCGCCTGTCTATCGCGCCGCGGCGCGTACACGCGTTCTCCCCCATGTTCCCATCTCGACGTGTTACAACATCGCTGCTTATCTGCGATATTCTCAGCCGCGAAATATCCGGAGAGGAAAAAAGAAAAGAAAGAAAGAAAGAAAGAAAGAAAGAAAGAAAAATTGGCCGGAGACAAGAGGCGATGGAGGGACTCGTTCGTTCGTTGATTATTCCCACATATCGCTCATTCGCTGCATAACGCAAAAATCGCGATTTTAAAGAAATCGAGTCTGAATATTTTATGAAAAGAGTATTAACGCGTACGGATTAAAATTTCAATTCGAAAAATTCATCCTTTTCTATCGGAGTTCATTTTCTAAAAATAGCAACTACTCAAAATCAAGGGTTCGAGCCTCGTTAAGATCATATTTTATATTCAAATACTAAAATTATCGGGAGGGGGATAAAACTGATTCGTCAAGTTTGCCGTAATATAATGCCGCTCGTGTAAACGCGCGCGTTAAGTATCGTTTGCCACCGGTGGCCGCGATCTCTCGGTGGCGCGATGATGTCGAGCATCGATACCTATCGATACACACGTCCGATTCTCGCGGAAACGATCGGCGCGAGCTGTCCATCCGCGATTTCTCCTTTAATTAAATTACGCGGCCGCCAAGGAGGGCCCCCGATAAGGGGGGACGTAAATCACTTTCAGTCGATAACTAATCGAACGATTCGAAACCGGGAGACGTCCGCGTCCGTGGAAGACGTCGGGGAGTATCGCGCATGCGCTCTTTTCCTTCCCTCTTTTCTCTCCCTATCTCGCGCGCGCGTTCCTCTTTATCTCGCCGGCCCTCTCTTCCTCTTCGTCCCAAGGAGCACGGAGAGAGAATATGAGCGAATGAGCCGGAGAGGTAGAGAGAAGCTCGGCGGAGTTGGCGCGACGACGGGGAGAAACGCGGAGTGAGGGAAGCCGGGGAGGGTGGAGGGGTGCGCGAGAGGCAACGGTGGAGGGAAAGGGACGGGAAGACTCCGGGTGGACGAGGGAGACGGACAGAGGGCAGGCGAAAGAGGTGAAAGAGAGAGAGACGGAGAGAGAGAGAGAGGCGTTTCCATGGCAACGAGGCGAGGCGGGAATGCGACGGTAACCATGGCAGCCGCGGGTTCCTCTCTCGGACCGACCTGTCTGTGTCCCTCTTTCTGCTCCCTCGTCCTCCTCGTGTTCGCCTCGCTCTTCGTACGGACCTCTTCTTTTCGCCCACGGATCGAGCCACGAGCACCGACGGATCCGCAAAGAGAGAAGAGAGGAAGGTGGAGCGCGCACACAACCGCGTTCTGGACCACGCGTTGGGATACGCGCCTCTCTCCTCAGAAAGCTTCTGCGCTTCCTTTTTGCTCTTTTCCTGCGATCTTTTTCTCCTTCCCTTTTCTCTCGCGACGACAATCGCGATAGCAATGGCACACACTCGTTTTATCGTCCCGGATAAACCGGAGATATCGACTCGGTGGATAAATATACGGGAGGGAAGGGGGACGTGATCGAGGTTTAATCGTAATTACGGTGTGAACTGCGCCGACTTTGAATATACGGGAGAGGGGAGGGGGGAGGGGGGGAGTTTGATGGACGGGTGGTGGAGAACGGGTCGGGTAAAAAGCCGGTTTAAATAATAGTATAGCTTGTCGGTAATCAAACAGCGTGCGGGGAGAAAGAACGAAAGGTGGATTTAGTTCACCCAGTTTGCGATATTCCATTTTTCGCTCGCTCGAGGCTCGGTCGATTGATGAAAGTACAAAGGTTAAGAATGATTATTCCGCGTTTCTCTCCTCGTCCATACCGGTAACCCGGTATCCATTCGTTAAAACGTCAGCCTGTTCCGCGGCGCGGGTGCGTTAAT